GGCCAAGGGGAGCAGGCTGGGGCACTCGGCGGCCAGGGCCACGCGTGCTGCCCACTGGGCGCCGAGGGGAAGGCCACCGTGGACGGGGGCTTGGGCGCCCTGCTGCTCGCTTGCGCTGCTCCGTCGCCGCTGCTGCTGACGTCGCCGTCGGAGCTGCAGTCGCTGCCCCCGCGCCTGCCGCCGTGGTACCGCATGAACTGCTTGACGCCCTGCAGGTAGCAGTAGTGCTCGTCGTCAGCGATGGCCCAGGCGTCGGGGTCGCTGTCCTCCAACTCGCGGGCCTTGCGCGCGTACTTGTTGCGCACGCCCTCGGAGGCCTGCCAACTGTCCTCGCGCATGTCGACTGCCCGAGCCCAGCGGGCTGCCGCTCGCTCGCCAAACGGCCGAGCCGAGCTGGCGCGAGGGGGCGGGGGTGGGATCGCGCTGATACCCTCCGCTGATGCGGCCCCCCTTCCCGCCCCCGACGCCGACGCATCGCTGACGCCCTCTCCAGTGGCCCTCGCACTGCTGGCTTCCGCTGCCGCTGCGAGGTTCGCAAAGGATTTAACTTGGGGCTGGGGTGGGATCGCGCTGTCCCCGTCCGCAGATGCGGCTCCCATCCCCGCCCCGTCAGACTGGCCCTCTGTGACGCCGACCTGCTCACCCTCGTCGCCATTGCCACCCTCGTACTGGCTGAGGCGCTCGTAGGCGTAGTGCGTGCAGAGGTCCATCCACTCTGCCTTGTCCTGCTGCGCGTCGGGGGCGTGCAGGCGCGACAGCCAGCCGTTGGCCAGTCGCGCCAGTGTGCGCCTGACGCCTGCCTCACCCACCTCGATGGCACCCCCCCCCCCCCGCGTCCACTGGGCAGGTGGCTAGCCTGCGAAGCACTGGTGGTAGGGGAGCGACGTCGCCTATGCCATTCTCCGTCTCGGTATAGCCGTGGACGATGGGCGCGCCTGGGAGGGGTCTGCTGTAGTCACCCCGCTCTTCCAGCCAGCGCCTGGACTCGTGGTAGCTGTCCACCGTCCTGCGCAGCTCCTCCTCCCAGCAGTCGTGGTCGAGAAGGCCGAGCTGCTGAAGAATGCGCGCCAGCTCCTGCCTGCCTGCGCCGCCGCGACGCCAGGCAGACTCGCATAGTTCCCTGGCCGTCTGCAGGCGACGCCCAAAGTTCTGGGCCAGGCCCGTCGCAATGTGCGTCGGCAGCCCTAGCATGCGAAAGATGTAGGGCACGCAATTTTCCAACCACTCGTTCTCGTCCGCGTAGTGGTCGGGGTTGCTGGGGTTGGAGACCCACCCGCGGGCGCGGCGCCCGAGCACCCGCTTGTAGCGCTTGATTGCCCTGGCCTCCATCCGCTCCGCCGCCCGCTCGTCGTTGTCCAGTTGGCACTGGACGAGCCCTGCCGAAGAAACGGCATCCGAGCCTCCGCCGACGAGCTGATGGAGCTGCGTGAAATAGTCGCTCAGATGCATGGGCTTCTTGCCCTTGTAGCTGGCCTTGGGCCCCTTGATGGGGCGCGCCCTGGCCTGCGTGCCGAAGCTGAAGCTCGGCGGCCCCCCGCGGCCACGGTGCAAACTGGCGTCGTCGGGCGGGATCTGGTAGATCCAGACGAGCTCGTTCTCCACTCCCTCGCATCGGGCGCGGTAGACCTCCGTCATGGCCTGCATGTCCCCCCCCACTCCGATAGCGTCCCGCAACTCATCGTGGTTCCACTCCTTGGCTGGCATAGGCCCATATGGCCTGTCCTTGGGAAAGGCTGCGGGGCCCTTGACGCGGAATGACTGGCTAAGGTCGCCCTGACAAGCCAAGTATAGCTTGACCCCGATGTGGGGCCTGCACGGGTTGGCGTAGCCCTGCTCCGTCATATTGAGGCGCTCGCACCCGCTGACGAGGTCCAGCATATCTGCACTGACGATGAACCAATCGAGCTCAGATGGCTCCTTGACGGGGGAGTGCTGGCAGGTACCCTTGCCCGAGTCGACGACGTGGCCGCCCAGCTTGCGCAGCCAGTGCCCCGCGCGGAGGTGGAACCTGCCAGGCTCGACGTTCCAGTCCCCCGCCAGGGCCCAGGGCTTGCCAGTGCACTTCAGCGTGGCTCCAACCTGCTGCAAGACGCTCTGGCTGTGCTCGCCCACGTCGTCGTTGTCCAGGTAGACCGAGCCCAGCAGGAAGCCTCCAGGCACGACGCCGTTGATGTGCACGATGGTCGCGCGGCCCTCGGCCGCGTGGCAGCTGTCCTTGCTGCCGCCAGCGCCTGGCCCGCACATGCCACGCGAGGTGCGCGCGGCCACGCCAGTGCCGCTGCTGACGGCGCGCTGGAGGCTTGCGCCGACCGAGCTCACCCCTGGGGCCAGCACGGCGCTCCAGCCAACCTGACGACACCACTGCTCCTGCTCCACGGCGCGGTAGCCGTTGAGGTGGTGCTCCTGGATGCACAGTGCGTCGCCGAGGTGCGCCTCCGCCACCGCCTGCTGTTGTGGGTCCTGCTGCTCGCCGAGGATGGTGGTGAAAGGGCCCCATCCGCTGCCATTGAGGCTCACGATGGTGAAGTGAGGGCGGCTACCCCCGCTTCCCCCTTCTGCGGATCCCCGCGGAGCGGAGTCCTTGGTGGAGCTTCTGGGCACGAAGCTTGCGCATGGCGGCGGCTGCGGCGGCCTTGCCTGCAGCGTCGCCTGCTGCCTCGCCGTTGCCCACCTCGCCCGACACGGCCTCTGCTGCCCCCTCCTCGGTGGCCTCTTCCTCCAGGGAGTCCAGGATGACGTCGACGTCCTTCTCGTCGATCTCCTGCTCGTCGCCGCTCCCGTCACGCTCCGCCGCGGCACCTGCTGCGGCAGCGCGCTGTGCCAGACGCCGCAACTCTGCGACTTGGCCGTCCCATTGCTCAGCGAAGCCAGGGGCGAGCATGCCTGAGCACTGATTAAGAGCGGCGAGGAAAGCGGTGGCTCGCTCACCCTCGCTGAGTTGGGCGCCTGGGGACGCTGGGGCAGCCGTCCCTCGCGGCCCTTCCTCCCGCTGCTGTGCTTCACGCTCGCGGAGCTGTTGCGCCAGGAGGTTGTCAGTGAGCGCCTGGAGCTCCTTCTCGCCGGCCTGACTCTGCGCATGTTTGCCCTCCAGCTCGAGCTTGTGGGCCTGTAGTTCAGCGAGCTGCTTGTCCGCCGCCGAGATCCTGCTCGCCAAGGCCGCCGTGGTGGCCTCCTGGTTCTTCTGCTTGCGCTCCAACTCGCTGAGCTGGACTGATGTGGGCTTGGTTGCTGCCAGCTCGTTTTCCAACTGCTGCGCCTCCTGCCGTTTGGATTCGAGAATGGCCTCCGCGCCGTCCACGCCCTCGATCTTCTTGATCTCACTTCGTAGCTTGCCCAATCGGCGGACACGTTCTGACTTGTCGTCAGGCTGCGACCCGACGCCTGCCGCCCCAGCGCCACCGCCATCGACTCCTGGTCCTGCTTGGCTGCTGGTCTCCAACTTTTTGACCTTCCTCCGCAACTGGTTGAGCTCGTGGCGTTCTCTGGCGTCCAGTTGTGACATGCCACTCCACCGAGAACTCGTACCAGAACCGCTTTCCCACCAGTCGTAGCCGCAACTCCTGCAGACGTGCCGAGAGCCCCAATTCTTCTTGGCTCCGCACTGAGGGCAATCCCAGACCCTGGGCGCTGCACCGCTGCCGCCCGCGCCTGGAGCTTGGCCGCCCCGCTGTCCACGGCCATTACTGGCTCTGCCGCCGCCACCGCGCGCGGCACCTCGAGCACCACCTCCACGTCCTGCCATTGGTCGAGCCCGCCGCGGCTGGGCTCCCAATCGGGCGACTGGGGCCGGGTGTCGGTGATGTAATATGGAAAGAGCTGTGGCCCCAAAGGCCACACTGAAAGCTTGGAAGATTGGGAATCTGACCCAAGAATGGACGCGACGGCTAGAGCCAGCCTCATGAGACCAGACATCTGCCCTGGCTCACGCGCCACCACCTTGGAGCCAAATTTGGCTACGAGGATGAAGATATGATGATTGATGGATGATGATGAAATTGAAGATGATGATATGATGATTGATATGATGATGAAGATTGATGATGATGATGAATGATGATGAGGAGGTAGGAGGAAAAGAGAGGAGGGGGGGAGGAGTGTGAGGGAGGGTGGGAGGAGGAGGAAGGAGGAGGAGGAGGAAGGAGGAGGAGAGAGGGGGAAGGAAGGAGGAGAGGAGGAGGAGGGCCAGCGGCGAGCGCCTGAGGGCGTCGTCTCCGCCTCGCCGCTCTTCATTTTTCGCCCTGCCGCCGCGGCCTGCCGCCGCGGCCTGCCTCCGCAGCTCGCCCCCGCGGCTGGCCCCCGCAGCTCGTCCGCGCGGCGCCCCCACGGCCCGCAGCTCGCCCGCGCCCCGCCGCGGTCCCGCCGATGGCCTTCCGCGCCGCGCCCCCTTGCGGCTGCTGCGGCCTCGCCGCAGGCTGGGCCCTGCCGGGCCCGCCGGGGGCCGCGGCGGCGGCCGCGCGGGCGGCTCGCGGCCAGGTCGGCGGCGAGGCTCTCCTGAGCTCCTGGCGTTGCAGTTTTTTCTCACCACGGGCGTCAATCGCTCGGTTCCCGGCCCCGGGGCCCTCGCAGATCGATCCGGCTTCAGGAAGTGAGGCGGCAAGTGATGGGGCCCGGGGCTCCGGTCGTGACTTGTTGCGAGGGTGCAAACGGCGGATCTCAGGGGAGGGCGAGCTGGAGACAGCGGCTGCCGGCCTGCAGGGGGGCTCCTCGTCGCGACGGCCGGGCTCGGCTCGGAGAGCTGGCGCGCGTGGGCCCTGGGAGGGGTCTGGGGACGGGTCTGGACCCAGACCCCTCGAGTAATGAAAAAATCATGACGGGAGGTTTTTCCTAATTTTCGGCCTCCGGGGGCCCTCACCGGGCCTCGGGGGCGTCAAAAAACGACTCAGGATGCAAAGCCGGTCATGGGGAAAGGGTCGGGACCTTTGGGGGTCGACGTAATGAAAAAATCATTACGTCGGGGGTCTGGGGAGCTGCCGTTGTCTCAGCCCGCCCTGCTTCGAGAGGCAGAGGCGGCGTCGGGGCTGGCAGCCGCCCAGGGCGGCGGGGGTGTGCCGCGGGCAGAGATGGCATCGGTCGGAGGCCCAGAGGTTGGCACCGACGCCAGCATCGGCGGTGGCCTCCACCGGGGGACGACGACGCCGCTTGGCGATGGTGGCAATCCTCCTCGGGCTTCCCAGGGGGCCGAGAGAGGACCACCAGCACCCAAGAGTCTAGGATCCTCCTCCCCGGGGTGGAGGCAGCCCCCTGCGTTGGTGTTGGTGCCCGTTTCCAAGCCTCCAGATCGGCGCCAGCAGCCGCCCAGGGCGGCGGTGGGCCGCGGGCCGCTCCGGGCGGCGAGCCAGGCAGCGAGCGGGGCAGCGAGGCAGGCGGCGGCCGAGAGTTGGGCGGGCCGAGCGCCTCGGACCAGCGGGGGGCGAGGGGCTGGCGGAGGTTGCCCACAGCCTGGATTCACCTGCTGTGGGTGGAGTGCTTCCACGTGTACACCGCGACATTTGCGTGGGTAAATCTGGTGAACAAGGTGAATGTTGGGTCGGCGATGCCAGGGGTTCCGGTGATCGTGGGTCATCTGACTAAGTATTCGAGAGGCTTACGCCAGTCCGCCGACCCCCGGAGGAACAGCGAAGTCCCCCCGGTGAGCCTTTTGGATCGTTGGGAGGGCTCTTTGGGGGTCTTGGGGTCGTCTTGGGGGGCACTTGAGGACCATGTGGGGGCCTCTTTTGGTCCTCTTGGGGGCCGCTTGGGCCCCTCTTGGGCGCCTGCTGGCGGTCTTGGGGGTCCGTTTGGGGCGGAGGGCTCGAAATATCAGTTCGAGTTGCCCCTCTTGGGGCCCTGTTGGGGCCTTCTTGGGCCACCTGAGGCGGTTCCTGGGCCGCCTTGGGAACGTCTTGGGCCGTCTTGGGGCCATCTTGAGGGCTTCTTGGGCAGTCTTGGAGCGATCTTCGGGGCCTCTTGAGCTGTTTTGGGTGCCGTTGAGATCCGAAGAGGCGAATATGCCAACAGTATGCGTTTCCCCAAGGGATGGGGACGATTTTTGCCTCTTGGCGCTGGATTGGGGGGTCCTCTCTTGGAGCCCTCTTGGGGCGTCTTGGAGGCCACCTCGACTGTCTTGCGACCACTCGGTTGTTTTTGAGCTCTCCTCGGCGTGTTGGAGCCCAGCTTGAGCCGGCTGAGATGGCATCGTGGGCATCTTGGAGGCCACGGAATGTAGATCGGGAGGCTCCAGAGGCCCCGGGGGTGCGTTTGGGAGCCCTGGGCCCCCCCCCCGAGTGTGTGCGATTTGGGGCCCCGAGGGAGGGGGAAGGGGGATGGGGACAGCTAAATGTCTCACACGCTTTGTCATCCCCGGCACGCAGGGGTCGGCCGATTTCCAGAGCTTGTTTTTCTTCGGCTCGACAGAAGCCGTGACGATCCATCTCGACAATTTTACTGACGCTTTCTTCCTCCAGGATTCTGATGGGTCCATTGGAGCCGATTGTTCAACTGTTGTTCTTCCAGCAACAGCGCTGCATAGCGCAGCCAATTGGATCTGGGTCCCAGTTGTGTGGAGCTTGCCAGTCGCAGGAGCTGTGGTGATGATTTTTATATGTTCCAACCTGTACTTGGCTGGAATCTGGAGCTTTGAAAGTTTGGCTTACCTTCGGTTCACCTGGAAGCTATACAGGAGGCCTGGCTTCAGATATTGTGTGGGTCTCATGTGTATTGGCCCTGTGTTCTTGCCTTTGCTGTGGATATTTCAGATTTTGGCTTTCGATTTGCAAAGCCAATGGACAGTATTGGGACAGAGCATTCCGAGTGGCCTCCTACTGCTATTCGCATTGGACTTCCTAGCATTCCCCGCAACGCCAGTCCACGAGTGGTCGAGCAACGACGAGCAGCTGGCCAGCACCCAGTTCAGGCGCTCCCTGCTGCACTTGTTCCTCGGGGGCAACAACAGCTTCGGGATGAAGCTGATAGATGCACTCTGGACTGCCGAGCACGGCGACCTCTCGCGGCTCGAGCGGTACTTGGCGGACCCCAGGCAGGCGCCCTCGGTGCTGGCGCTGTGCCGCCGGGAGCAGCGGGCGGAGGCCGAGGACAGGTCCGGGCGCCTGCGCCGGAAGGCAGCGCCCGGCGCGGAGGGCAGCGACGGCCCGGCCGAGTGACGCCGGACAGTGCTTCAGCCATCGGCGCACATCGGCTGCAGCTCCATCGCTGGGCGCCATCCCACAGTCGACCCGCTCAGGAGGAGGAGGAGGAGGAGGAGGAGGAGGAGGAGGAGGAGGAGGAGGAGGAGCCTTGCCAGGGCTGGGAGTCTGGCGGCAGGTGCCCGCCTCCTTCGCCTGACGCTGCACAGCCTGGCGGCTCGAGCGAAGCAGGGCTCGTGACAGCAGACGCCCGACGTAGCCGAATAAGCATCCAGCAATCATTGTCCGTGTCTGGCTTTCAGCCACTGCCTTGCGGGAGGCGGACACGCGGCAGTCTTGGCATTGAGGGTTGCCACTGCCTCGAGGGACCCCAACTGCACACCTACACCTGCACCTACGCCGACCCTGTGCTAAGGATGGGCGGCCAGGGGAACTGCCGTGGTAAGGTGTAGGTGTAGGTGCAGGTGCAGGTGTAGGTGTAGGTGTAGGTGTAGGTATACACCTACAGCTACACCTACGCCGACCCTGCCCCCTTGTGGCCCCTGGTGACCAGGATCGGTGCAGGTAAACAACTGGCGTCCGCCTAGTTTATTCTCTTCTTGCCTCTCCAACTCCTCTCATTCGGCCTTCCAGCGCCAGTCTATACGCTTCGCGTATCCCGCCAGCCCATTCAGCAACGATGCCCAGGCGAGTTGCCTTGACCCTGGAAGTGCTGGAGCAAGCAGGGGAACATATGGGGGAAGCCGTCACACCGAAGCTTTGGATCAGCCTGCGCAGGAGTGTGCCTTATGATGTTTCGCGCCCATGTCGAAAGAGGGGGAGAAGACGAATGATGATGATGATGATGGTGGTGGTGGTGATGATGATGATGATGGTGGTGGTGATGATGATGATGATGATGAGGATGAGGATGATGAGGATGATGATGATAATGATGATGATGATGATGATGATGATGATGATGATGATGATGATGATGATGATGATGGTCATGGTGATTCTGGTGATGGTGATGGTAATGATGACGATGGTGGTGGTGGTGGTGGTGATGATGATACGATGATGATGGTGATGATGATGATGATACGATGATGGTGATGATGATGCTGATGATGCTGATGACGAGAGTGATGCTGCTGATGATGATGCTGATGATGGTGCTGATGATGATGACGATGATGCTGCTGATGCTACCGATGCTGATACTGGTGCTGATGATCAGGACGATGCTGATGCTGATGGTGATGCTGATACTGCTGTTGATGATGGTGGTGATGATGACGATGCAGCTGCTGCTGATGAGGAAGATGAGGATGAGATCTGCTGCCGATGTGGATGAGGATGAGGATGATGCTGCTGCTGATGACGATGATACTGATGATTATGATGATGATGATGATGATGATGTTGTTGATGATGATGATGATGATGGCGCTGCGCTGATGATGATGATGGTGATGATGATGATGATGCTGAGGAGTATGCCGACTATGATGGTGTTACTTATGGTGTTGATCATGATGACGATGGTGATGATGCTGATGAGTGTGAATATGATGATGACGATGCTGATGATGCTGATGATGATGGTGGTGGTGATGGTGATGATGCTGATGAGGACTGTGACGATGATGATGATGGTGATGACGATGATGATGATGCTGCTGCTGATGATGAGATGGAGGATGAGGATCATGATGATGATGATGCTTACGATGCTGATGATGATGATGAGACTGATGCTGATGATGATGATGATGATGATGATGATGATGATGATGATGATGCTATAGATGATGATGATGATGGTGATGGTGGTGGTAATGGTGCTGACGATGATGAGGGTGTTGCTGATAATGATGCTGATGATGATGAATGTGCTGCCGATGATGATGATGACGATGATGATGATGATGCTGATGATGATGAAGATGATGATGTGATGATGATGATGACGATGATGCTGATGATGCTGATGTTGATGGGGGGAATGAGTATGAAGACGAGTATTGACGAGGAGGGTGACTAGAAGTACTCGGAGGATGAGGATGATGGACGGGTGAAGACGGTGAGGAGGATGTGGATCATGAAGACGACGATAGTGAGGACGCTGATGCTACTGCGGATGCTCATGAGGTTGTTGATGATGAGGATGCTGGTGGTGAATCTGCTGATGCTGCTGATGATGATGGCGCTGCGCTGATGATGATGCTAATGATGATGCTGCTGATGATGCGGCTGATGACGATGGTGATGCTGCTGATGCTAATGATGCTGATACTGATGAAGCTGCTGCTGCTGATACGGATGATCCTGATCAGGATGATGGTGATGATGACGATGCGGATACTGACTAGACGTCCTAGGAGGATGAGGAGGATGGAGGAGTGAAGACGATGCTGATGCTGATGAGGATGCTGCTGATGATAATGAGGATGAAGCTGATGACGATGGTGATATCGATGCCGATGATGATGCTGATGATGATGCTGATGATGATGATGCCGATGCTCATGACGATTGTGAGCCTGCTGAGGAGCATGATGAGGACGATGTTGAGGATGTTGAAGACACGGATGCTGATGATGGTGAATCTGAGGATGATGATGCTGACGCTGATGATGGTGATGATGCTTCTGATGATGGTGATGATACTGACGATGACGATGCCGCTGATGCTATGACGGTGATGATGGTGTTGCTGATGATGATTTCGATGACGATGGTGATGATGACGTTGCTGATGACGCTGATGATGATGATGGTGATGATGCTGATGATGCGGCTGATGATGATGCTGATGATGAGGATGAGGATGATGATGCGGAGAATGATCATGTTGCTGATGATGAGGATGCTGAATCTGATGATGATGATGAGGATGCTGATGCTGAGGACGAGGATGATGACGATCAGGGAGGAGGAGAATGAGGACAATGATGATACGGAGGAGGAGCAGGACTACAAGTGATGATTATGCAGATGATGATAATGATGATGTTGCTGCTGATGATAATGATGATGATGCTGTCGATGCCGATGATGAGGATGATGGTGATGATGCTGATGATGATAGTGATGATGACGATGCTGATGATGATGATGATGATGATGATGATGATGATGATACAGATGCTACCGATAATGATGCTGATACTTATGATGCGCCTGGTTTATGGCGATGATGCTGATGCTGACGAAGATGATGCTGATGATGATGCTGTTGATGCTGTTGATGATGATGATACCGATGATGATGCTGATGAAGATGATGCTGATTATGATGATGATACTGATGATGCTGATCATGATGACGACGTGGATGCTGATGCTGATGATGCTGATGATGCTGATGATGCTTGTGATGCTGTTGATGCTGATGATGGAGCTGATGCTGATGATGACGATGATGATGGCGATGCTGATGACGATGCTGTTGTCTATGATGCGGCTGATGATGATTTCCACGACGATGCTGATGATCATGCTGATGACTATGATGATGATGATGATGATGATGATGATGATGATGATGATGATGATGATGATGCTGATGAGGATGCTGCGTCTGATGCTGTTGATGATGCTGATGCAGCTGCTGATGATGATGCTGATGGTGATACTGATGACGATGCTGATGCTGATGATGTTGGTGCTGATGATAAATATTAAGCTGCTGATGATGACGATGGCGATGGCGATGCCGATGACGATGCTGATTATGACGATGCTGATGATGATGATGATGATGATGATGATGATGATGATGATGATGATGATACTGATGATGATGGCGATACTGATGATACTGATGCTAATGACCATGCTGATGATAATCATGATGGTTCTGATGGTGATGATGATGACGAGGCCGATGCTGCTGATGATGCTGATGATGCTGGTGCTGCCTCGGATGTGATGATGATGACGATGATGATGTTGCTTATGACGAGGATGCTGATGCTGATGTTGACTATGATGACGATGATGATGATGATGATGATGCTGATGCTGATGATGATGATGATGATGATGATGATGATGATGATGATGATGATGATGATGATGATGATATGATGATCATGCTGATGATGATAATGATGATGTTGCTGCTGATGATGAGGAGGACGCAGTCGATGCCGATGATGATGATGATGATGATGCTGATGATTATGCTGATGCTGATGATGAGGAGGAGGATGAGGATGAGGGTGCGAATTCTAATTCTAAGTCTATAGAGGGCGGGGTTCTGCTCTAGGCAGTTCGCTTCAAACGCATGAGCCTCGATCGGGGAAGACCGCGCCAGACTTTGGTGGCACGCCCCGAGACAGGCGAGAGAGCACATCACGCCCTGCTCTTGAGGGGCATGGCCCTCAAGCAGGGTCTCCGCACAATCCTTTGAGACTGCGAGGAGGTTGAACAGAACAATGGCCACCACAAAAAGTACAGGACAAAACTCCTCGCCAGACCGCCAGGCAGTGGGTGGAGTGACACTTATCAGCCAGCGGGTGGCCAAGGGCCCCCCACACAACCCAGACGGCGCTAGGGCGTCAGGGGCGGGGTCAGGGTCGCCGTCACTCCACCTCTCACGTGGCGGCAGCAGCTGGATCCGCTGCTGGCTGATGCAGCGGGGCTTGCGCGGGGCGGGCCAGAATTCAGCAAGTTGGCCAGGCTGAAGCTGAGCTCGCAACGATCACAACGGATGCTCGCATTCCGTGCATTCGGGCTGTGGCCTACATCTCGCAAACGACACAGATGCTTCTTGGCAAGGGAAGAGACGACGCCGCGAGTTCGCCTCGGCTCTCGGAGGCCTTCTCTCTCTCGCCCAGGGGAGGACAGAACGCCACGCCGCACAGTCAGACTACGTTTCAAAACCTGCGCCGCGAGCACGCCTGCTTGCAACGTCCTGCCTGCATCTGCCTCGCTCAGCTGGCCGTGCACAGCAGCCCAGCCGGCGAAGTGATCGGCAGCTTGACTGAGGTGGACCTCCACGTCCGGAAGCAGCATGTTCTCGGCCC